GCAGCAGAATATGAGCTGTTCAAATTTGATGCGCTCGCGAGCGCTTTTAAAACTGTTGAGTTTTTATGCCACAAGCCGAATCTCGAAACTGCATTACATCTCACTTCTCATCACTGGCGCACTAGATCTATAAGTTGAAGCTCATCGTGAAAACAGAAATCCCGTCAGTTTGCTACAAGTCAGATCGATCAACACAAGATCGAAATTCGAACGATGTTTGCTTTGGTCTCACCGTTAAGAATTTCAAAGTGTTGCTCGTCCACTCGTTGACCGTTTCATCACGCGATCCAACGCTCAATTAATCGGTCAGTTTTGTTTTTCGCCATTTTTCTTTCGTATTTCTGCCATCTGGTCACTCGCCCAGCAAGGCGCTTCGATCATTCCGTCCAGACGATAGTTCGGTCTGAATGCGCGCACAGTAACGGTAACTTGAGATGTGTTCCCTTCACTTGTCCAAACTTGAACCGGTCGTGTCTCCGTGTAGTCAGCGTCTTGTTTTTCGACTAAAGCGGGGGTATCGGCAACACTCTTTTTGTAAGGATCATTGCGGTGGAGCTTCTCTCGAGACGACGCTATTAGGATGGTGTCAATGTTTCCATTGACCATTTTTTTCTTTGCGGTCTGCGACAATGGTGCAAGACACTTGAAAGTCGCGACAACGCCTCGCATATCGGGCAGGACTTCAACCTTTGTTTGCCATTGTTCCCCTATGCGCACCATCGGATTTTTCCATAGGCGCTTTCCCGTAAGCCGTAGTTTTACCTCGCGCCCGGACTCGAGCGTGATATCTGAGGGTTCAAAGCTGTCAATATACGGGTACCGTATCAGGAAAAATCCAAGTTTTGGAAGCACGTCTTCCACATTATAGGGCAATGGTAACACTTGAGATGCGTCTCGGCGTCCCGACTCTAATTGTTTTTCTGGAACTACAGTGGAGCGTTTGGCAGGGCACAGACTTCTGCCGCTTTCCGCACGCATAAGCTTTGGTCTCAACCAACAGGTTTCTGTCACAATTCGTACGCCAGGCCACCAGCTGGGAAGCGATACGATCGCCGAAAGTGGAACACTCTGTGCGACATGCCGCGAAGTTAGAAAACCTTCGTCTTTTGGATAAATCAGCCACGAGATGGTTGTTTTTCTCTGTCGAAGATGTCGAACGACCATAGTCAATTCATGCAGATCAAAGTCGCCAAGCGCGTTGGCTTGACTATCGGGGCAATTCTCGAAGTCTTCGTTTTCCGGCCCCAGCGCCCCATTTTTCGCAGCATAGAGCAAACATCTGATACGTTGTCCCCACTTGGGGTCAAGATTGATCCCAAGTGACTTATTGTAATTGCTTAAGTTTTCGTCGTTTTTCAACAAAAGAGCCAAAGATTCGGTCAAAACGTCTCGGACATCAAAACTGTTCAATACATCTAGAAACGGCGCTCCGCACTCGGTTGCCCGAGCCTGGTCCGGATCACCAGTATCGCCTATTCCGAGTATGGGTATCGAATGGGTGATGCGTGCTCGCTCAGACTCGCGGGTCGCGGCGGTCATACCCTGTCCAACTATGGATGCCAGGGACCACCCGCGATTGTCATGTTCAAGTACACTTTCACCGACACCTTCACGAGGGTAGATTGTGTAACTCCTGGCTGTAGCGAAACAGGACAGTTCGGCAAAGAGCCGCAGGGCTTCCTGCCGACCGATCATCAAAGCACACTGTTCGATTTTTTTTCTTACGAGCTTTGACAACTCAGGGTTTTTCAAGTTCCAGAAGAGATAAGCGCGAACATATGAACCAAGACAATTTGATTCTTGTTTTTGAGCGACACGTGATTTGGATTTGTTTTCAAGCGCGCGCAAACGCCTGTGACGAAAGTCCTCGGATATGGTCCGCACAATCAACTGACATGAGTTTACATCGCAGTCGTCTTTGTCGATCACAAAGTAATCATCCAAACGACGAACGCGCCCGGCTGTATCGATGGGTGTGTTGTTCAACTCGGCGTGCACCAAATGCGCGACACCGATCTTTAGGAGTGACTGGCGATACGCACCGCACCGGTTCCAATAGTCGGAGGGGCCATCAAAATGTTCGTGCAGTTCCTGGAAAATCTGGTGCGATGAGCCTTTGCGAATCGCATGCGCAAAAGAAGGTCCCTTGAACGTGTTTACAATCTTCTTGTTTTCGGCTGCACAGTATCGTTCCCATCCTTGAACGTGGGCATTGGCTTCTGCTATCGTAACGTCTAGGCTCAATTTTCCGAGTAATTCCAGCAACGCAAGCTGCGCGACCCGTTCCGGTGATGGTGGACAAGGCGCGGAGAATGACTTCTCCGACAGCAGTTTTCTGAGTTCCAGCTTCCAAACAAAATCAGTATCGAGAGCGTTGCCGCGTGATACATTGGCTTGTTGAAGGTCAATTGGGCTTATTGAAGTTTGTGCCTTTGATGCATCAGCTTCGTAGAAATCCTTAAATACGTCTTCGAGTGCCTTGTATTGATCGGACTCAGTCGTATGCGGTGGAAACAGCGACCACACACTTATCAACCCAGATTTGCATGAGCGGTTCAATCCGTTGGTCAGGAAGTCGTCATCCGGTGAAGAAGCTACTTGCTTCCCAAGTGGTTTTGCTGACACCGATGAATTAAGCGAGGTCGACAAAATTTTTCCAAAACCGGCCCCCCGTTCCGAATTTCGATTTTGCGGCAATCTCTGAGAGGGGGGAAAGAATATGTTCAACAATGCTGATCCTATGGCCGGATCATTTCCAACAGTCTGCAAATATGACCGGAAGGTATCTATCATCGTGGACTTATGTTTTTCTAGGATTACGCCCTTCAAGTCTTCAATATCGTTTCTCCATTCGTTATCACCGCTTAGTTTCTTAATTTCTGCAATCAGTAAATCATTAGTTTTTGCACTCAAACGATAGTCATCCAATCGAATTATTGAAGTCCGGTCGGCAATCATCCGTTTTGCCGTCTGCTGTAACTCATCTCTGACATCGTTGAGCAATTCACCATATTCGTGCAGAATCCACTCAGGATCTTTAGGCTGCTCGAGCGTTATCGACACTGCGGCAACCGACGTACTGTGTGAACGAGCCGGAGAAATGACCAAATTAAAATTCAGTCGTTGGAGAGTGTTAGAATGAGTATCATGTGCATCGTCGAGAATTGATTGGAATTTCTCTTGGACCAAGCTTTGTCTATAGTAATTCGCCGCCTTGAATTCGCTTAATGGATCTTTCTCGAGAAAGTTGTTGATTTGCTCGTATGGCAACCTAGTATCAGCGTGTTCGTTTTCTGCTACTTTCGTTTCGAAGACAAATTTGAACTCTTCTTTTACTCGTCGAACGTCCGTTGGCTTTACAAATCGTTTTTCTTTTATCATTTCGTCGACTGCGGCAATTCGCCTGTCGATCCACGCACTCTCGTCTAGCCGTTGGTTTATCAGTCTTTCGCGGGTAAATAGTTGCGGGGAGGATACGGCGATCAGACCTTCCTTTTGGGGATCGTAAAGCATTCCTTGATCGTATAGTTGATCAAAAGCCCAGTGAACGGAGCCAAAAGGCAAAGAGATTCCAATAGCAACGACCCCCGAAATGATCAACGCAATCTTTACGTTCTTGTCGGTTAGCCAAATTGGCAGATGCCACCTCTTGTTGCTAACTGGTGGGTTATCCTCGTGCTCCTGTGAAACGTTGGCTAACGCTGGAGCGTCCATGTCGTTCTGTTTGCTTTCGTCCATGGCCTAAGCCTTTTCTGTACTTTCTTGAAAAGCATATTTGTCAATCAAATGATCCAACACCGTTTTGACGGACAGGCGGCAGAACGCTGTTTCTGTGCTATCGAGGCAGCCTGTTTCTCCAAACTTGTTCGATGGCGATCCGCCTCCACAAATTGCAAAATGGCCGCAAGTTTTTTTGCATCTCGCAACACCGACCGCGACCTTGAGATGGCAGTCACGATACCACTTGCTCCTAAAAACGTCGTTCAGATCTCGAATGTGATGCACGTTTCCAAAACGGAAATCATTGAATTCTGGAGCATTCATCCCCAACAGTTCGGGCGAAAACGTCGAAATGTTTCCTTCTAAATCCACCGACACGATCGCGCCCGGCGAGTTTTCTTGATTGCGAACGACTTGCCCAGCGCGAACGGTCAAAAGCATGTTTTTCAAGTTGTCGAATTCTCGGAACCGTGGGGGTGACGTATGCCCTGAGAGTGCATTTAAGAATCGGTCGAGAAACTCCCTGACACGGTCTTGCGTAACACCACTCAGTAGCGACGACTCTGTATTTGAACCGTCGATTTCCTCGATGTTTAGTCCAATCGACGTCGGACCAGCATCGACCAGGGCCGACGCAATGTCCTCTGGCCGCGACAACGACGCTTCGGTAACGACTGCTATAATGTGGTAGGGTATGCTGCGCGCGTTAAGCATTTCGATGCCCTTCATCGCCTTGCTCCAAGTTCCACGGCCACGTCGATCTTGCCGGTGCAGATCGTTGATAGCCTCTGGCCCATCAAGACTAACGCCTACCGAAACTCCTGACTGCTCAAAGTAATCAAGCCAGCTTTCATTAATGAGGGTTGCGTTTGTTTGAAAGCTCTGACGCGAAATCTTACGACTGCTTGCGCTTTCTAAATTATAAACAGCTCGCCTATACCATTCTGGATCCAACACCAAGGGCTCTCCGGCGTGCCACACCAAAGTTGTACTATCGCCAAACGAAGGACTGGCCACAATGCTTCTGCCAATCGCGTTAAGCGTCGCTCCACTCATCTGTCTCGTATCTGAGCGAAGTGGTAGATAACAATACTTGCAATCTATGTTACAAAACGCAGTTGGCTGCAGTACCAGCAATTGCGTTTTTACCAAACTTGGCAGCATTACTGTGACGTGCTCACCAATTGCGCCAATTCGGCCAGTTGCTCCAGTTATTCCAGTTGTACCACTGAGCAAAACGTTTAATTGATAAACCCCGATTTATTTGGCTTTGCGTCTGGATGTTCTCCGCCGCAGAAATTATCTTCTCTTTTACCTTGCTATCTGCGCTTTGTCGCTCGCCAAAATCGATGCTCGCCGCCATCACGCCGATCGTGCCTAAGGCAAAAGTCAACAAAAAAGAAACCCAAAAACTAATCTTTCTCATAGGCTTGTCTCCCTAGCGAGAAGGTCAAAGCTTGCAATAAATTTATATTAACATTTTTTACGCAACTTATGCAACCAAAGGTGATTGAATTTTTAAAATTGCTACTTATTCAGTTGTTACTACGATCAGCGTCACTTGCCTCTAGGGTAAGCAGTAAGTGTGTTACCAGACAATCGTCCGCTCCTGGTTTTTCTATGCTCAGACAAACATCGCTTCGCCACACCAAAAAACCTAAGATACCCACCCCACCTCGCAGACGAAGCCGTGCAGACGGTCTTGGCACAGGCAGAGATCTACCAACGGGATGCTGACGTTCAAAATGAGTGAACAGATGCTGGTTAAGGGCGTCTGATTTGGATTTACAAGCAAAAGTATTGTAAATTTTCAGAAACAATCTGTGGATGATTAAGTTTGGTTGTATGGGGTTTTCCAACCCACGCCAAGGCACTGAAAAAACTGGAGTAGACTGTTGCAGAATACTGGTGAAGTCCCCACCGCTGGAAAACTGGACACAACCCAACTTTCCTTCGTCAATGCACTTGAACCGGACATTCGCCTGCTCGCACCTGCCGGTAGCGGCAAGACACATTCGCTTCTGCATCGGTGCGCGGAGCTAAGCCGTCGTTCCAACGGTTCCGACTCTTTTCTGATCGTTTCCTTCACCCGTGCCGCCCGTGACGAGATCCGGGCGCGGTTGAGTGAACCCGCCTTTTCTTCCTTCGCCACCAGAGCTGATGTTGTGACGTTGAATGGCTGGGGCCATCGCCGTTTACGCGCCATGGCCACCCCGCCGCGGCTGCATGTTTCTGAGTTTGAACGCACAACCCTTGTAAAGACAGTCTTGGCGCCTGCTTTTTCCGCTGTGCCGGCTCTGGAAAATGGGATGAAAGAGCAGCCCTACAAACTTCCAAGATTACTGGCCTATCTGCTCGACACGATGAAAACCCTGGGGTTCGATCATGAAGACGGGTCGGCGCGGATGGCCGATGACCGCCTCGACGCGCTGGAGGAGCTCGGACTGCTGACACTTCTGGAAGACTATGTTGCAAAACTGGAGGAACTTGGGGTTCTGCCTAACCGGCGTTGGGAAAGCTTCCTTGATGTTGCCCTGCCGTTTTTCAACACTTCCTGTCAGCAGCAATTTGCAACTGGATTCTTCACACTTGAGGATCAGAAATACGGAGCCTGGCTGGATCAAAGGAAGCATCTAGCCTCTGGAAACGCGCTTGGTGCAGAAGACGCTATTTCGCATATCCTTGTTGACGAATTTCAGGACATCAATCCGCTCGATCTCTCTTTGATCCTCACCATCGCCGAGTTACACAAGTCCACCCTGACCCTTGTTGGCGACGATGATCAGGCAATCTTCGAATGGCGCGGTGCGGCTCCAGATTTTATCCTCGAGCCGGAGCGGCATCTCGGCCGGCAATTCAAAACCCACATTCTTGAGAAGAACTATCGAAGCCCACGCAATATCGTCACGAAATCAGTACGTCTCATCAGCCACAACAAGCGGCGTGTGGAAAAAACGGTCGTTCCTGTCTCACAGGTCGACGCTGAGACACTGATCTATTCTGGCGAAACATTTCTCGATTCAGTCGAAAACGTCCTCGCTGAAATCCATTCGTTCGTCGGAGAGAACATGCCAGGCGCCCGTATGGCGCTGTTATCGCGCAAGCGCGCTCAACTCATCCCCTATCAAATTCTTCTTGCAAGAGAGGACATTCCGTTTTGCGCGGCAGAGGACCTGCATCTTTTTTTGTCGACCACCTTTGACCGGCTGCTTCAGGCCCTCCGCATCAGAACAATGGCTGCGTTAAATTTTGCGTTGCCCACGATCGTGGATGACGTCATGGCGCTTTGCGACACCGTACACCGTTATCCACTTCGAAAGGCTGAAGCAGACGCGATGGCGCGTCACCTTCGAGCAGTGCGCCCAAAGAGCTATGATGCCGCAATCGATCAGCTTGAAACTTATGACGGCACCATACGGGGCCAGAAAGACGATGGAAAGACAGCGAAAGAGTTTGCGCTCCGGCTGCGTAAACTCATTCATGCGCCTAACGTGCGTTCCGCGATCGAAGCGTTGAGAAGCTTATATGCGGGTTTCAAGCAAGACTATGGGCGAAGCACTGAGGACATTTTTCTGGCTGACCCTCCCTTCGCATATCTCGCGGAATTTTCAGAAAGTTACGGTGAAGACTTTCAAGGTTTTGTGGAGGACCTCGAAAAGGCCAAGGACACGCTGGTGAAGCTGCCCGGAATGGACTCCGAGGATGGAGCGGGGGACGAATGGCGCAAGCCCGTCCATCTGATGACCGCTCTACGCGCCAAGGGCCGCGAGTTTGACACGGTGGTGATGCTCGACGTCGTTGACGGCATCTGGCCTCTGCGTTCCGCAAAGACCGAGCGCGCACTTGAGGGAGAGCGCCGGCTTTTCTACGTTGCAATGACAAGAGCGAAGAAGCGGCTCATCCTGACGAGATCCAACCGGATCGGCGAGAAAGTCGCCATGATTTCTCCCTATCTCGCGGAGGCGGGCCTTCCTTAGCTTTCTCCCTCACCCAAGGTTTGACTAAACAAGGCTGCAACATCGCCTTTCTCGACGGGAGGCAAGAGCATTTCGCGTGACAGACTTCGCTTTCGATCCAGCAGGGCGTCGAGCTTCTTGTCGAACGAGCTTTCGCCGAATGACGGGTGTACCGCTAACGGAAGGTGAATTGTGACCGGTTTGTCCTGACCGATGCGATAGCAACGATCGTTGCATTGATCCTCCACAGCTGGATTCCACCACCGCGAAAGATGGATCACGTGGTTCGCGGCTGTTATCGTCAAGCCTATTCCTGCCGCCTTAGGAGACAGAACCAGCAGGTCAAACGGGTTTCCGGATTTTTGGAAGCGGTCGACGATGGCAAGGCGCTTGTCTCCGGGCACCGACCCGTTGATCAGGGCGGGTTGAGCATCAAGATCGAGATGCGTTGAGATCGCGAGCGCAAAAGCTTTCTGTATTTCAATGTCTTCGACAAAAACCAGTGCTTTTTCTTTTGCTGTCTGCAGCTTTTTAAGAATATTCACTGTGTGCTGCACTCTCGCTGATTGCGAAATCCAATCGGCTACCGACTGCTTGTCGAACGGGTCACAGGCTTTCGCCCCTTTTGGATGGAGAGAAATACTCCGGAAAGCATGAATGGCGCGCAGCATGTCTCCCTGGCTGGAGCCGCCGCTGCGAGCTTTCCCAATTGCTTCAAAATATGCATCGGCCTGAATGTCGGGCATGACCACAGGCGTCTTTTCTTCTGATTTCGTCGGAAGACCTTCCAGAATGTCGACTTTCATTCGCCTCATAAGTACTGGCGGTGTCCTTGCGGTCGGGGGCTGGTCCAGTTTCGACTTGAGGTTTTGTAGTTCGTCTTGCCCGCAATTCTCAAAGCGACGAACAAATTCCTTCAGGCCTCCGAGATACCCAGGAACGACCCTGTCCATGATGCACCAGAGATCCGCAAGACGATTTTCAATTGGCGTGCCGGTCAGCCGGCGAAGAGTTTCGCTTAACGCCTCGAAAAACGCGCCGCGTCGCAGCTTTGAGAGCCCATAGAACGGGCAGTAGGTGGCACACCGTGAAAGCCAACGCCATGCCAACAGCAAAGGTAAAAATCAGACCTGCGAGTGAAAATGCGAATTCTTTTTTGCTAACTGCCTCCAGTCCGCCTGGACCGGCAACCCCGCTCAATGTGTCGATAACTCCTGCCACATCAATCCATGACAGGTTTTGTGAAGCTGCCGACAGGACAGCGGTGACCACCCCCCAGAACAAAACGAACCGAAGAAGCGGGTTAAAAAACAAAAGCATATGCACCCCCTGATTGAAATTATCAACTTAATAGGGTGCTGTCAGCAACTACATGCCATTTTTTTGAGGCACATAAAGGCTTTGTATCATTGGCTGAGCGTTTCTGTACTGAAGTCGTGAAGAAAAGCCGTTTGGAAGGTTGTATATAACCAAGTTCTTGCAGCTGCCGCGGCACGTTACTTAGCAAGAACCACAATCAGCTTCACGCGGGCTCTTTCACCGGATTGGTCATCCGGTTTCGCTCAAAACCCAACGCTCCCATGCCAGCATCATTTCCCGTCCTTGCTCCAACAAGTTCGTGCGATGCTAGGTCGCTTCGGTGGCGTTCTTGATGGTGTGTGCCAGGGAGCGTTCTGCAAGGTCCCTGGGGGTATCCACTCCCCGACGCCCAATCGCGGAACCTGGACCGGAAGCCGTGCACTGTTGCAAGACGCCCGGGCGTGTCACTTTGGACGTTGTGATCGCGCCGGCACATTGTACGTGTCATGTCACCGACCGGCGTGGCGTTGCGCGATGGAAAAACGAGCTGTGTCGCCCGGTTTGATTTTTCTCGCCTTGGCATCTGCCAGCATTCCATTGTTGCTTCAGAGATGCGCGGTGTCAGCCTGAACTCTTCACTCAGCACATCATTTAGCCCATCATCAAAATTGAGATACGATGCTTTTGCGTGAGGCCTATCGATACAATTCAGAAGTGCTTCTAGTCAATTAATTAAATAAATTCAGTATTTTATCAGATAGGCTGAAACTGATTAAGAGAGATCGTAACAAAATTTATGGCGGACCCTCTCCGCCAGCGACCTTTTTCCCTACTTCTTTATTGAAATCGTTGTCAGAACTGATCGCCTGTATGTTGCCCTGCCTGTCCTGCTTTCAACCGATTTCGGACGGTCTTCCGTGTAATACAGCGACTCGCTTGGCTTTCCTGTCCACAAGGAAGCTGGCGGGCTGAGAGCAAGAGCGGATGAAATCGATCTCAAGACGGCACAGTCCGGTGATACCGCCCTGAATTCGAGCCAGAGTGTCGTCATTCGTGTGAAAGACCTGAAAAAGCTTCACCGGGCATTCCATGAAAAGGCGCCGCCAAAGCCTGGGAGGCTCAAGGAGGGCTTGTTTGGTCAAACGCATTTCTCATTGACGGATCCCGGTGGCAACAGTCTCTATTTCGTAGAAGCGCAGTCCTGAGGCACTCTGTCATAACCAGACTCGCAATTCCCAAGAGGTCATGATGTCCACGCCCGTTCGTACAGAAAGCGATTCCTTCGGTACCCTGGAAATTCCGGCGGACAAGTATTACGGCGCACAGACCGCGCGCTCGCTGATCAATTTTCCGATCGGCGGCGAAACCATGCCGCTGCCGCTGGTTCATGCGCTCGGCGTGATCAAGCAGGCCGCAGCGCGGGTCAACCGGGATCAGGGCAAGCTTGCGCCCGACCTCGCCGACGCCATCGACCGTGCCGCTGGTGAAGTGGCTGCCGGCAATTTCGACAGCGACTTTCCGCTGGTTGTCTGGCAGACCGGGTCGGGCACCCAGACCAACATGAATGCCAACGAGGTCATCGCCAATCGGGCGATCGAAATTCTCGGCGGCGAGATCGGTACCAAGTCCCCGGTCCACCCGAACGATCACTGCAACATGAGCCAGTCGTCGAACGACACTTTTCCGACCGCCATGCATATTGCGGCCGCCCGCGAGATCCATCACCGCCTGTTGCCTGCGCTGAAGCACCTGAAAACCGCTCTTGCCGCCAAATCGGCGGAGTGGAAGGACATCGTCAAGATCGGCCGGACCCATACGCAGGACGCGACACCGCTCACGCTCGGGCAGGAGTTCGGTGGTTATGCCGCCCAGCTGGAGATGAGCATCAAACGGGTAACCGAAGCCTCGGACGGGCTCTACGACCTTGCGCAGGGCGGCACTGCCGTCGGCACCGGGCTGAACACGAAGACCGGTTTTGCGGAGAGTTTTGCGGCGGAAGTCGCCAAGATCACCGGCCTTCCGTTCCGGACAGCGCCCAACAAGTTCGAGGCGCTGGCCGCGCACGATGCCTATGTCTACGCCCATGGCGCGCTGAACACCGTCGCGGCGTCACTCTTCAAGATCGCCAATGACATCCGCC